AGGTCTTTTCCAACCTAGAAATCTATGACTGTTGTGTTTTGTGGTTTTTTGTTGTTTTTTTTTTTAAATTGGCATTCATCACTCCCAGAATGAACTGCTGCATAAATTAGATTTATTCATGTGTTTGGACATGCAAAATGGTTTAGGGTGAATGCATCTCCACAAACTCGTAGGATGACAATGCAATAGATGTCTGAATATTACTGTAAGAGGGCCTTTTTTTTTATTCTAACTCCTTGAAGACCGCTACATTCTTTCAGTGAAACAATGAGATTTTAAAAAGCTAACGGTCTCTGTCAATTTAAAAGACCTCTGTTTTCTAGCCTTTCTTGGCATTGTGTCAGAGGCAATTTAAGGTCAGTTCAGGTATGAGCTGATACCTGTTTGCGTGGGTTGAGAAAGGCAGGATGACTAGACACAATCCTAGCAACATTGCTGTCTTGCATCCAGAGCATGTTTTCTTAACATGAGAAGGTTAGTACAACCTGTAAGCTCACAATGGGTATGTTGTCCTTTTGCTAGTATTTAATTAAATGATGGCCTAGATGAGCCATAATTGAAAAAAGGAGAAAACTGAACATTTTTCTTCTTCATACAGAACTATGTCAGCACAGATTTTAAAAAAATAAATAAATGTAATCCTAAAATGAACTTTGAGAACTGGGAAGCAAGCATGCATTTAAAATGCTAAGAATTTTAATTGTCTTTTGGACTGTTTCTTCTAAAATGCTTTAATTAACATTTAACCACAATCAACAACAAAAAGTTGTTTCAAATACTTACATTAGACATTCTTCAATTTTTTTATTCTTTTTTTTCCCCTTCAATAGAACACTCAGACCACCATTAAGCTCTTCCAAGAGTGTTGTCCTCATTCTACTGACAGAGTGGTGCTTATTGGTGGAAAACCTGATAGAGTCGTTGAATGCATCAAGATTATCTTGGATCTTATCTCTGAGGTAATGTTTATTAAATTTATTTCATTCATTCTTACATTGGTATTCATGAATGTTAGGGATCCTTTAGATAAAAAACAGTATCTTTCTGTTTCTATTTTGAATTAAGTACTTCCTGCTTTCCTAGAAACAAAGTGATTAAACTGTTACCACCTTTTGAAACTATTTCCCTTTTCTAGAATTGGGGTGCACCTTATGGGGGAGGGAAGCAATTTTTGGTACTAGTGGGTTATTATTCATTCTTTGCATATCATTAAGATGTAAAAACTGAAGAGGAAGGCAGACAAAATTTATTTGCCACTGATAAGTAAGAGCAGTTTATCATAGTTAAGTTCACGGGAAACACATCACCATCTCCTCTTTTGTTACTAGCTTTGTGAAATTAAGAACATGTTCCACATGCATAAATTCGTATTTATACATTTAATATATTAATTCAATTAAATATGCCAATTGTAGTAGTCCTAATTGGGTTGGGGGGATTGTTGTTTGTTTGTTTGTTTTAGTCTCCAATTAAAGGACGGGCCCAGCCTTATGATCCCAATTTCTATGACGAAACATACGACTATGGTGGCTTCACAATGATGTTTGATGATAGAAGGGGACGTCCAGTAGGCTTTCCAATGCGTGGAAGAGGAGGCTTTGATCGAATGCCCCCTGGTCGTGGTGGACGACCTATGCCTCCATCAAGAAGAGATTACGATGATATGAGCCCTCGCAGAGGACCTCCACCGCCTCCACCAGGCCGTGGTGGTAGAGGCGGCAGCAGAGCTCGTAATCTTCCTCTTCCTCCTCCACCACCTCCTCGTGGCGGGTGAGTTGTTGCATAAATGCATTATACAGAACTCAGGCTGTGTACAATCTACTGAACCATGGTCATCTTTCCAGCGTTCTTTCCACACTTCCATGTTGTTAGTGACTATGCAGGATTGAGTGTGTATTAGACCAGAGAATTTTGAAAAATACTGGAATTTAATTATTTGCTGCAGTGTGGTAATTTCTGAGAAGGGCTAGAGTCAACAGTTCTGAAGCTTTTGTGTCATTCAGTACTCGGCTAGAGTAGTTTGAAGCTCAGTTGTCTGTGAACCATCAGTGTGAAAATTTAAATTACGACAGATAAACTAGTTTGCAATGCCATTCATGTGCTGCTGCTTTTTTTCATTTTAGAGATCTTATGTCCTATGACCGAAGGGGCAGACCAGGAGACCGTTACGATGGCATGGTAGGAGTTCAACATTTGCCTTGTTCTGTTAGCATGCTGTCTGAAGATGCCGTTGCTGAACACACACTGAAGTGTGGGACGTGCTTGGTTCTGCTGATAGAAGCAAAATGTTTTGCTCATACAAATGGTCTCTTCAGTGGAGGAATGTTTGGGGTATAAGTGGTGTCTGAGACATGATCTGTTTTCTTTCTTTGTTTCTTTCTTTCTTTCCTCTCTGCCATCAAAAGTGATACAGAAAGCTTGACTGTGCTCTACCCTGCAGGTTTTCTTGTTCGCACCATCTTTCAGATTTTTTAATCAGGATGAGAGAAGTGGGAATTGGTAGTCTTTTCAGATAAACATGCCAGAGCAATGTACTCTGCGGTTCTTTGATTCATATGAGCATTCTTAAGAATAATGTTGGAAAACATTACAGATCATAGAATAGTATCCGTTAAGAACTCTAGTTGATCTGGAAAGTGATTGCTTTTTTGAATAAATTCTTAACTTCTGTCTGCAAAAAACCTACTGTAATTCCAAATGTTTTGGAGCTAGGGCCACTGCTAAGTTGAAATTAAATTAGGTACATTCAACCATATTAATGCTAACACTTGCTGAGGAAAAAAAACCTCTCTCAGTATATGGAAGCTTAAAAAAAGGCTTAAAGTTATTCTTCGATGTTATATTCTGAAATGTGACTTCCTAGCAGTCATCTGCTGTTGTACTAGATTACGCCTTCCTGGGAAGAGATACTCTATGTGTCTGGGAGGTGAATCTCTAGTAACAATCCTGTTTTCTTCTCTGGCTTTGTTTGGCACCTTCTTTAAGATGACAGGTGAGACAAATGTGGGTTGTTTTTTTTTTAAATGAATGGAAAAGAAAGGAGGGGAGAAAAGCTACGAAATAGGCTCCGCCTCCTCCTTGGGAGTAAGCGTTACTGAAAGCAAAGTATTGCAAGAATGTCATATGCTTCCTAGAAATATTAAAGGGAAAGATTTGCACACAAGTTACAAAAAAAAAGCGTTACCCATGCTACTTTACATGTTAAGAAACCACAAGAATTGAGAAGTACACATCCAAGATTTCTTATTTGTATTTACACGTTTTCAAAGCTCAGGTTTTGTGTTATATTTGCAGCTAATAAAGCCAGTACTGGAGCATCTAAACTGAGCAGCTTGCCCTTCCTTGGGTATCTGGTTGAGCACAGTCTTAATTAGCTTGACTCTTTGGCAGTAGCGTGTTCTATTTTTATTCTATTCCAGCTAGAATAGGAAATCTGTTTTGACTTCTGCTTACCCTGACTTTTTATGAAGTTGACTTTTGCTTTCTTGACATGAGTTTGTACAAGTAAGTGGAGTCATCTCTTAATTTTTTTCATTCCAAGAAGCAATTCTATTTCCTCTTCACAGTGAGGCTGCTCACTGCTTTGGCTCCTTTATGACCAAGTATCAAGCTGCTTAAAGTGAGGACAGCTTCCCAACAAACACTGTAGTTAATTTCTAGTTTTAGTTAACCATGATCCTACTATCCTGAATTGTGTAAACAGACAAGAAGAATCATAAAATCATAGAATTTGTAGGTTGGAAAAGACCTTAAGAGATCATACAGTCCAACCGTTCCTAATCCCCCATTAAACCATGTCCCTAAGCAGTTCATCCACATCCAGGGATGGGGACTCAACCACCTCCCTGGGCAGCCTATTCCAGTGGCTGACAACCCTTTCAGAGAAGAAATACTTTCTAACATCCAACCTGAACCTCCCCTGACTAAGCTTATACCCACTTCCTCTTGTCCTATCACCCATCACTAATGTAAAGAGCCCTTCCCCCACCTCCCCACCATCCCTTCTCAAGTACTTGTAGGCCGTAATCAGGTCTCCCCTCAGCCTCCTCTTCTCCAGGCTAAACAGCCCCAATTCCCTCCGCCGCTCCCCAGAAGTTTTATTTTCTAGCCCCTTGACCAGCATAGTCGACCTTCTTTGGACCTGCTCCAGGAGCTCAATATCTCTCTTAAAGCGAGGGGCCCAAAACTGGACACGATATTCCCGGTGCGGCCTCACCAGTGCCGAGTACAGGGGCAGGATCACTTCCCTGTTCCTGCTGGTCACACTATTCTTGATACACACCAGTATCCCATTGGCCTTTTTGGCCACCTGGGCACACTGCTGGCTCGACTTCATGTGGACTATGAGGCAGGAGCTAGAAATGTCATATCAGATGTGAGGTCTTCCTGTGCTACCCTTTGTTTCATATAGAAATGACTACCTAGCAAAACATCTAAACTAGAGTAAACCAACATTGTTGTGGTTTGTAAACTAAGTAATGCATGGGAAAGGCTCCACTCGGAGAGCAGAAGTGTTCTTTTACACAGATTCTGTTTTACATTAATGAAAACCAAGAACAGGTGCTTTTCTCAAATGAACATCTCCAATATCAGGGAAATGTTGAGTGTACAGAATTTTTTTTTTTGCCAGTGCTCTTTTCCACTAAGGGCAGAAAGATTGAGGAGTTCAGGACCTTTAAAACTGGATGCTAAACTGCGAATTTCCTAGAATTCCAGAAATAAGACAGTATTGACAGCCTTGTAAATCCTGAGATGAGGAAAACTCATTTTAAGATACCTTAATTCCCCTTGCCAGTGCAGAGTCACCCACTTAAGATACTTGCCTGTTACCCTGGCTTACAGTTGTAGTTTAATTATGCACTACTGCTGAAAGAGTTGAGTTGGTTTATAATCTTTGTTCTGAAGCTTCCTCCTGAACGACAGCTTCATATTGTTTCTCTGTTAAACAAAGCTATAAATTTCAGTGTGTAACTACTCCAAATCAAATGCCTGTGGACCATAAGGGCGATTGTGACAGTTGAAAAACAACGTGAATGTATTTCCAGTATTTCTTTTTTCAACTTCATCCTCAAGGGGGTCTTTCAGATACATAAATGCACACAGGTACTCATGGGAGGGGTGAAAAAATAAAATGGCTTTATATGCTTGTCCACTTTATCGCCTCACCTCTGTTTTAATGAACTGATCAGGTACTACAGTTTTCAAAGCACTAAAGATTTTAAAATCTGAGTTAACAGAGAGTTAAATCAGAATGTGAAGAGACAGGCCACTTAACAGGAGCCAGAGTTCTGTGTCTTCAGACTTGTAATGTGCTTTTTGCTTCTTCAAATGCTTCCTAGTCGTTGATCTTTTTTTTTTTAAATTTTATATATGTATGTGTACATACATGTGTCTTGATGTATAAATACAAGTAAAGGCACATGTACTTAAAAGGTACAAAACATTCTTCATGTTTAAGAGATTTGACATAAAGAAGCATGTAAAAAATCAGTAAAGGAAGAATACACGGCAACTCTTGTGTTCATGAAGATGCTGGAATAAAGTAACAAAATTTCACTGTCCTAGGTCACTCTGTTAGAAAACAGAAAATCACAATAAAAGAATTTGACATCAGTTAGGACTGCATAGATTTTCTTTCATTAGATGTAAGAGTAAGTTCTTATTACTACTGAGTGCTTTGCCTTATCCAACCAGCTGTCATCTGGTTTCCAGTCTCACATCAGTAGTCACTAGCGCATACAAGTCTACAGAGTAGCATATTCTGTTACGTGTGTTAAGATACATCCTGTTTGAGAAGCAGGTCTTAGAGTGCACAGTGAACATCAATTGCTGAAGCTGTAGAATTATGAAAGAAATGCCATATATCAAGTTCTAAAACAATAATTATATTTCTAATATAGTTAGGCAGCAGTAGACTGTTAGTCTAGTTATTGGCTATGTGAAGTATATTGAAATGAATTGGTAGAACATGAGAAGCAATGTCCTTCCTGCTTGACCTGCTGGTGGCATAATCACTGACAGTTACTTTTTTCAATCTTGTTGTGCCTTCGTTTTCTAACAGATGGCAGAAATAAAACATTTTTCTAATGTATGGGGGAAATAAGATTTTGATATATAATAGCACTTGAAGATGTTCAAAAAGAAGAGAGAAAAAAAAGCTTGTTCAAGCTTTGTTCTGCCACTAGTTGTCTGACCTTCCTTGTTAGAGGAAAATCTGTTCACACTATAGAAAGAGGGGAAAAAGTGAGTGCGACCACTTACAGTTCCCTCAAAGTGAAATTAAAAGGGAATGAGTCTTGAAAGTGGTCTAAATCACATACTTTGAAGTCTTTTTTGTAGTATAAATGTTTCTCTGTACCAGTATATATTGTATTTGCTTGCCGAGTTACCTGTAAGTCTGCATGGATGGCATGCACTTAATTTAGATTTCTTTCCTCTTTTTCTCCTATTACCTTGTGTCTGGAAGATGATGCAGTGTCATGTGGATGCCTGTGATGACATGCAGCCGCCGGAGCTGGTGAGTTTGCTCAACCTTTTTTTTGAAAACGGCTTTATCGAACAGGTTAAGTGATAACGGGAATCTCCTCATCTAGAGTGTAGTCAGTGGCATCTCTTGCACCTATGGAAAATCATAAAGCTGTGCTTCTGACTTATAATTTGTTGACACTTTGTCTTAACAGTGTGTCCTGTGCAGGCAGGGAAGTATGCAACAGCACAGCCAAAAGAGAGGAGCTTTTCTGTACCTCTTTTTTTGCCTCTTTTACACCCCATTTTCATATTCTAAATAGTAATTTTCTCCCTAACTGATGCTCTGTAGATGCATGCATTTAGGATATATATTCTATATTAACATCATAATGTTGTGTTTTCTCGTATTTCAAACAGCAATGTTAAAAGTAGCTTCTTCTATTTGTGGATAAACTATTATGCTTTACTTATTAAATGGTGTATTTTCAAACACATTGATCAGATAAGTTTTGGGAAGGGAAGTTAAGGAGTTGTTCATGCTGTCTAGAAGATGGCAAAGTGCTTCCAAATATTAAATGTCAGTTCTTAAGCTTACATAAACACAGCAAACGTAATTACTTATCTGCTGTCAAGTTCATTTGCTGTCCTGTAGTCAAGGGAGGCAGAAATGATCAAAAAAAGGATTATTCATTAAAACAGATTAGCCCAGAAAGGGATCCTGTGCCACGTATCAACAGGAAGATGTCTGTGTGTATGCAGTATGCTGCTCTGATCAGCCTCTGAATTAAGTCTGAAGCAGAGTCCTTCATTCTCTTGTATTTTGGACTCCATTAGAAGTTGTTATAATGTATTACAGTCTGTATTGCTACGTGATGTGATTACACAATATTGGTTGCGTAGAGACGGAGGATATCAGCTGTTTGGTCTAAGCAGCTTCAATTTTGATTTTCTAAAAAGGTAGCAGGTGAATAGCATTTTGGGAAAAGTTGTTCTGTCATAACTTCTGCAAACAAGTAGTTGTGGTTGGTTATCTTGGCTGGCTGCCAGGTGCCACCCTGCTGCTCTCACTCCCCCTCCTCAGGAGGATGAAGGGAGAAAGTGAGATGGAAAAGCTTGTGACTCAATATCAAGACAGGGAGATCACTTAGTACTTATCATCATGGGCAAAACAGAGTCGACTGAGGCAAGATTAAATTATTGCCACTTAAAAGTAGAGCAGCATGGCAAGAAACAAAGAGGAAAACCAGAAATACCTTTCCCCCACCCTTGACGTCTTCCCAGGATCAACTTCGCTCTTTTATTGCCAACACTTCTACGTGAGTGGTGCAGGGGGGATGGGCAATGGCAGGTTGCAGTCAATTCATCACACTTCGTTCCTTCCTCTTCACACTGCTCCCCTGCTTCAGTGTGGTGTCCCTCCCATGGGATACAGTCATTCACAAACTGTTCAAATGTAGGTGTTTCCAATGGACCTCAGTTCTTCAAGAACTGCTCCAGCCTGGGTCGTCTTCGTGGGGTACAGTCTTTCAGGAACAGACGGCTCCAGTGGCTCTGTTACAGGCCACAGGTCCTGCCAGGTGCCTTCACCTGCATGGGCTCTCCATAGGCTGCAGCTTCCTTCAGGGCATGTCTGCCTGCTCCCAGCATAGGATCCTCTATGGGCTGCAGTGTGGCTATCTGCTCCAGTGTGGTTCTCTCCATGAGCTGCAGGAGAATCTCTGTTTGGTGCCTGGAGCACTTCATCCCTCTCCTCCTTCACTGTGGTGTCTTCAGGGTTGTTTCTCTCACTCTTTTCCCCCTCAGTCATCTCTCACAACTGGTGCACACTGGGATTTTTTACCCTTGCTTAAATGTTACCACAGAGCTGCCACCACATTTACCGATGGTCTCACCTTTAGGCAGCAGTGGGTCCATTTTGGTATTGGCTAGAATTGACTGGCTTTGTCTAGCACAGGGGCAGCCCCTGGCCTCTTCTCACAGAGGCCACCCCAGCAGTCTCCCAAAAGGTGAATTCTCGAGAACTGTGCATGTTTGCTCTCTGCTTCTGTGCATATTTATTATCTGTTTCTATAGGAAAGTAAAAAAAAAAAAGGGGGTTTGTGCACTGAGAAGGCATTAGGTGAAATAAAGCACTTGATATCAAATACTGGTCTACAAATCCTGAAAATAAAGAGGCTAGGAGTGCGCGTTGCAGGAATTTGGATTCGGTATATGGTGGTTTTAGCAGAACAGAAGTTAACTCAAGTCATGATTATCTGTTCTAAGGTACAAAGGATTGTAGCATAGTCTGAATCGAGAGCCAAGTTATAGAGCTGTGGGTTTTTTTTTTCCTGAAGGCATAGATGAAGTAGGAGGATTGACAGTTCACTGGGTAAACCTTTTGACCCCAAACTGGAGACTTGAGTCTCTCCTGAGCTGTACTGGTAGCATTAATAAGGCTGTACTCTGATCTTTTGATTTGAATGTTAGTTTAGTCCAAGGGTTGGGTGATCCAAGCACCAAGACCTGTCTACCAGCAGCTGAATTAGTGAGACTGCTTGTTAAACTGGTACAGCTGGATCCTTTACGTCATTTTTATGCCTTTCTCCTAGAGGTTTTGACAGGGCAGGATAAGAGGTTGATGAGATATCACCCACCCACCCATTTTCTTTCTTTCTGGTCTGCCCTCTATGCCTTTGATGGCACAACGCTGTTATACTCACAGTAGGGTTGAGATTTTTGCACAAAATGGGCTCAAAGTTAACAATATGGTACTTAAGACAAAAACACGTTAATGAAGCATGACTTCATTATTTAAGTTTTTTTCTCTTTCTCTTACAGTTCGAAGGTGGCTCTGGATATGGTAAGTGTTTATATAGAACCTTTACATGTGCTTCATTACGTAGTTATTAAAGGGCTTGATGCATACGTTTAAATCAGACTATTCTTATGCAGGGGGGCGCGGCTCATACGGAGATCTTGGTGGACCCATCATCACAACACAAGTAACGATTCCCAAAGATGTAAGTAAAGTTGACTTGCTTTCAACTTTTGTTTTCTCTTAAAAAAAAAAAAAAAGGACACAGCCTTTCTTAGACTATATAAGTAAACCAGAAATATTCAGGGTGCTTGATACGTGGTTCCAGTAAAAAACAAAAGTGTTCCTAAATCACCAGAAGTCTATTCTTTGAGTGTTTTTGTGTCGTCGTTGTCGTTTTCAACCCAGCCAGCAACTTAATGCCCCACAACCACTCACTCACCCTCCCCTACCCCTGGGGAATGGGAAAGAAAGCTGAAGAGGAAAAGGGAAAG